ATTGAACCCTCAACCCAGGCATGTGCCCTTGACCAGAATCGAACCTGGGACCCTTCAGTCCTCAGGCCAATGCTGTATCCACTAGGGGCTTAATCACAAGGAACAACAACATCTTGTAATTATTGGAATCAAGAGTTAAGCTAAACTGGCTAGGGCCAGCCAACAGCTCTTGTAGTGACCTCCTGATGGTCAGGTCATGGCTAAAGTGGTGCGTTTTTAGACTTAGAAAGTGGTTGATAGCTTCCTGATGTTTAGCTTCTATATTATAGCAGTTCCTCTGGCAGGCCAATTCTGCAGTATTGCTTTGGAAACCATTGCTGGAGGCCTATCCTAGAGCCTGCCCCTACAGACTACAAAAGGTATTACAAGGCCTAACATCATTGATATTTCTATTATCTGTTGCTGTGTAATTAACATCCCCCAAAACTTAGGTTGGCTGGGCACTTCTGCTGCTGATCTCTCCTGGCTCACATGTGTGGTTGCATTTAGCTGTCAGCTGTGCGAGGCTCCAAGATCCTAGATGGCCTCCCTCGCGTGTCTGGGACCTTGGAAGGGATGCCTGAAAGTCAGAGCCCTCTCTCCCCATGTGGTCTCTCATCACTCAATAATCTAGCCTGAGCTGCTTTCTAGGAAGACGGCCTTCCAAAAGGGTTAAAATAAAATCTGGAAAAGCCTCCTATGGGTAGGTTGGGGTGGGGGGGTCACTCAACATCACTACCTCATTCTATTGGTCAAAGTTCATCAGGGGCTGGCCCAAATTCAAGGGGGAAAATAGACTCCGTTTGGGGAGGGGAGACAGTAGTTGTAGCAAAGTCACATTGCAAAAAGGTACATGGGAAAAGATTGTTGAATTTAATACCACAACTGTATTAAATTCCTTTCTGCTTCAAATGGCTATAATGGCTTGTTATCAGCAGCAGAACTGACTGATACAAAAAAGTAAGCAGAGAGACCGAACAGAAGGCTGCTGTAATAGCCCAGGGAATAGAGGAAGATGTGGGGTATATTTTGAAAAAGCTCTAATTGAACATAATGTGAGAGGAAGGAGGAAGATATCAAGGATAGAATCAAGAATGACTCCAAGGTTTGCAGTCAATTGTGCTACCGTTTACTGAGGTGAGGAAGAACAAGTTCAGGGAGAAAACTGAAGAGTTAGTTTTTGAATATGCCTTTTGGACATCCATCAGGCAGATAGATAGAGAATTCTGGAGTTTGGAGGAAAAGCTGTGGGCTGCATATATAAATCTGAATGCTATTCGCATATGAAAACACTAAGCCTGCCGAAACCGGTTTGGCTCAGTGGTAGAGCGTCTGTCTGCTGACTGAAAAGTCCCAGGTTCTATTCCAGTCAGGGGCATGTACCTTGGTTGCAGGCACATCCCCGGTAGGGGGTGTGCAAGAGGCAGCTGGTCAATGTTTCTCATCGACTTCTAGCTCTCTATCTCTCTTCCTTTCTCTCTGTAAAAAAATCAATAAAATATATTTTAAAAAGAAAAAAAAAGAAAAAAAGATAGAAAACACTAAGCCTGAGACTTGACTCAATCAAAGGAGTAAGAGTAGAAGGAGAAGAGGCTGGCCTTGGAGCACAGCAACGCTGAGATGGAGGGAAGGTGTGTAGGATCCATTTTAGTGGAGGTAGAGTTCCTGGCAACACTTGGTAACAGTGTGGATTCCAAGGCCCTGATTTCGAGCACACGCAGGGGCCTAGCAATCTGCATTGTGGGCAAGCTCTTTATTCAGAGCATCCTGAAGTGGGTAATTTAGAAGTACCCTTTGAAAAACACTGACATAGACCACCAATGTCTAAGTAAACATTTCATGGGTCCTTAAATTCAAAGATACTCTTTTTTCCCCTCCTCACTTCATCTCATCGGTCACGCATTAAAGACTTACAAGGTGCTGAGAGGGGAAAGTGGGCCTCTTCTTTTTTCTAATTGCCTTTTATAAGGAGGGTGGAAGCAAACTATGAACTCTTGACAAGAAAAGGAGAGAGCCGGGACCGGTTTGGCTCAGTGGTAGAGCGTCGGCCTGCAGACTGAAAGGTCCCAGGTTCGATTCCGGTCAAGGGCATGTACCTTGGTTGCGGGCACATCCCCAGTGGGGGCTGTGCAAGAGGCAGCTGGTCGATGTTTCTCTCTCATTGACATTTCTAACTCTCTCTCCCTCTCAATTCCTCTCTGGGTAAAATCAATAAAATATATTAAAAAAAAAAAAAAAGAAAGAAAGAAAAGAAAAGGAGAGAGAAGATAGGCCAAGAATAGTGTCTACCCTCCTAGATAAGTGCTATATTCTCCTTTCGGTACCCTGTTTGCTGCCCGCCGGTAACACTTTTTTGAAGCAAAACCAAGGGCAAAGTCAATACCTCCTTGTCCCTAAATTGAAAGTAGCATTTGCCCCTCCCGTATTTCAGGGAACAAAAAAGCTCTCATATTCTTCCTAATGTTTCATGGAAAGTTTAGAGAAAAGTAGATGAGAAGCAAATGCTTGGCAGCCTGTTGTAGCTTTTACCCTCCTGTCTATCAAAATTAATGCTGATGAGGAGCCTCTACATGGAAAATGTCCGTCACAGTTTATACCATTGTGGACACAAGACTGAATTCTTACGGACAGCGAACCTGTATTTCTCAAATATAAAAACGTTAATATATTTCCATGTGAACCTAATCTGGGACTGTGAATTACATATTGGTGGTAGTTAAGTTTCACCCACATATTCTCCCTTTCGCAGTGCCATGGCTGTAATGGGGCCTGCAGCTGCAGGAGCCATGTGCCGTAATAGTGACTGGATTGATTAAATGCCAATTACTCCTGGACACTTTGCAAAGGCCTCTGCTGCAGATTGAAGCTGGGCTCTCTGTCTGATATTAGATCAGATCTCCATAATCCTCTGCGATAGCTGGTTTGAAGTCTCTAGCAATCCCTTGTGGCGTGTACTTTAGTCAATAGCATGATTACTATTTTAATGTCTCCACACCCACTATGAAGTATTACTCCAGGCTCCGTTCCCCAGTCCCCACCCTGCTCCCAGGAACCTGAGCTTCTGACCCACAGATGATTAAGTCATTCGGTGACTCATCCCCAGTGGCATAGGGGCAGTCCTCTAGCCAGAGCACAGCCAGACCTTGACTGTAACCAAGTGTCTGTCTAGAAGAGGGATGATGGATCCTGTAGGCCAAGCTACCTGTCTCACTGTTCCCCTGGGTATCCATCAGTCTTCTGGCTGGCACCCGGCTAGCAATTAATTCTCTGTTTAGCATACGCTTCCATTAGCAAATACTTAGCAAGGGCCTAAGCTTTCATACCCTCCCCCAGGAAATTCTTTCCAACAAAGTTTTGGATCTAGTCACCGTCCTAGGCTGATTTTGCCACCGTATTTGAAAAGGCTGGCTGATCGCTTCTCAGCCTTTTGACTAAGATCAAGTGTGAAATGGCTGGCTGACTATGATAGAACATGTTCGCTGAAGTTTGGAGCTAAAAGGGTGACTGAGCCCCCAACTTGCTGTGTGACCGTAGGCATCTGATTTCAAAACCAGGGAGCTGAGCAAGGTATTTTCTGAGATCTCTTTCACCTTTAGCATTCTATGGATTAATTTCATTTTTGCAGAGAGTGCCTTATTCATTTGCTAAAGACAAATGTATTGGTTTGCTAGGGCTGCTGTAACAAAGTACGTGGGTGGCTTAAACAATAGAAGTTTATTGTCTCCGTTCTGGAAGCTGGAAGTCCAAAACCAAGATGGTGGCAGGGTGGTTCCTTCTGAGGGCTGTGAGGCAAGGGCCTGGCCCAGGCCTCTCTGCGTGGCTTATGGATCGCCATCTTCATCTTTGCATGGTGGTCTTCTTGTATGCATGTATGTCCCTATCTGAATTTCACCTTTTTCCTACTTAAAACTCTTTAAAAATTTTTTAATTTATTGATTTTTGAAGGAGAGATATAAATTTGTTGTTCCACTTATTTATTCGATATGCATTCATTGATTGATTCTTGAATATGCTCTGACAGGGGATTGAACCCGCAACCTGGGCATATCAGAACAGTGCTCTAGCCAACTGAGCTACCCAGCCAGCTCCAAATTTCCCTCTTTTCTAAGAACACTAGTCATTTATATTATTCCCTCCCCCCATAATAGCCTCATTTAAACTTGGTTACCTCTATAAAAACCCTATCTCCAAATAAGTTTACATCCTGAGGTACTTGATGTTAATACTTCAACTTATAAAAATTTAAGGGGCATAATTCAACCCATAACAGCGATTAACTATCAGCTATATGTAAGAAATAAAAAATAATGATTTGATTGATTTTTAAGGCTGTTGACTGACAGGGGCATGTAGGCCAGCTATCAAATAAGTAGAGAATGTTTAATTTATCTTGTATATTCTAATGGCTTAAGCATAGTATTAATCATTATCTCCACATATAGATTTTGTGTAAGAATCAGCTCTGAACCCCTTTGTACCTGAAACCCTTAGCTTTGTCATGACTTATAATATTCTTTCATCTATTTAACATGAAACTCATTGAAAATGTCCTATGACTATTTAACCAGTTATTGCCCCAAGGAGCTCCATGGGGGTTAACAAGGAGATAGGCCATTACTTAATCCAATGACCCTACTGAGATTTGATTGAGTTTGGCCCCCAGAGGATATAATGAGTGGAATATGCTTTTCTGTGCTCCTGTGAGTCTCCTGATCATATAAAACTATTCCCATATTAAGAAGAGAGAAAAGAAACACACGAGATTCTGCTGACTCACAGCTACCCATTTGGCTGTAATGGAAATAAATGAAAGAGCTCACTCAGTATGAACAAGGACAGATTGGGGTGGAAGAGGGTATTATCTATTAAAAAAAATAACTGACAGAAGTCCAGGTTTATCAGCAGAAGTACACCCTTCACATCACTGGCTTCTTTTCAGAGCCTTTCTAGCCTGGAAATCTCCTAGGTGGAGCAAAGGGCCAGGAATGAGCAGACCGGGAGCACTCACAAGCAAATATGACCAGGACTGTAGCTAATCCTTTTCCTCTATAACACGTAGAGAAAGGCTGGGGGTAGACAGGTTTCAGAAACTGCTGAATATCAAATTTTCCTCGTTCGTTAAGAGAGATAGTAGCCCGAAGAATAAAGAAACTCAGATCTGCTGAGCTGGACACAATTACTGCACACACTGGAGGCACACCCATCTTGGACCATTTCCCCATGGCTTGGCTCTCATTACACATTTCCTTTCTGCTCTTATTGGTGGCAGATGGAATTTGGGGCAGACCTCTTCCTCAGGCTCCCGTAGTCAAAAGATCCCGTGCTTAGATCATATATCTCCGTTTTCCTGCCGCTGTAACCACCCTACAGGTCTGGTGTCAACCTGGTTTCTATTTAAGTACATTCCCTGTGATGCCAGGCCCTTGGATTCTAACACTTCCTTCCTCGGATTCCAATCTTGTCTTCTTTCCCGCACTTACGGGTTGGTTAGCTGAGCAGAGGCTGGGAACTCGACTGATTTTATATGAGGACTTTTAAGGTATCCTCATTTCCCCATCAGATTTTTGACCCACGTGCCTTCGCATTCAAACTGCAGGTGTTAACTGTCTCAAATCTAGGTCTAAATCTGCTGCCGATGGAAGACATCATTTTTATTTATTCACTTGCAACCATCATTCCGGAATCACACAGGTCAAACCCTTGCACAGGAAGTGATGGGAGTGAATTCCAAATCCAAGAGTATTGTGTGTGTGTGTGTGTCTTTGACTTTGTGGCAGGATAATTTATTGAGATATAAATGTCTTAGTCCTCTTCCCATATTTTCTCTTCCCCTTTGATCTAAACAAGTTAAACAGACCTTTAGTCATTTCTCACTTTAGGGATAGTTTGCAGAATGATCTGGCTGTCATTAGATAAAACCTGAACTCATTGAAGACAACATTTTTTATGCCTTTGAAGGTAGTGGGAAAAGGGGAGGAGACGATTTTTCTAGAATATGACAAAGTTTGCAGCCTGGGAGTCAGAATGCATAGGACTACATGTGTAGCTACATGCTGGAGTGTTGAGCTGGGTCTGTGGACATGTCTGTGGTAATCTGTGTGGGCTGACAACTGTCTGTGGCCGGGTCTCTGCCTGGTGTTGATACCCCAGGACCTTGTATAATCCCCAAAGGGGAAAGCCCCAATAATGACTGAGATTACATTTTCTGTCAATCAGGATGCGGACTCAGAATCTGATTTAAGGTAATTTAGGGAAAAATAAAGAAGATATTTCCTGCACATCTAAGTTGGATATCTATGTTCCATATTGGCTACACTATAATTAAGAGTTATTTTGGAAACTTAAGACTACAGAGGAGCAGTGTAGTATGGTGGCTAAGAGTTTGGTCTCTGGAACCACCTGGGTTCAAATCTCAGCTGTCACCAACTAGGTGGGAATCCTTTTGCAAGCTATTCAGTCTCTTTCTACCACAATTTCTCCCCTCTGTGAAATGGAGATAACAGTAGTACCCACCTTTCAAGTCTATGGTTGAATCGAATCACATAATACATGCAGTGTTTCGTAAACCAGTGCTTGACATATAGCATAATTTAATGCGTGTAAGTTATTATCCCTATATATATTTTGCATCACTTTTATGGATATTAGAAATTAATTAATTTTCAAAATACGTAATAAAACACAAACGATACAACATCCAAATGTTAAAAAAAAAAAAAAAAAGTATGCAGTGAAAGATAAGGGTACAAATGAAAAACTGTTTTCTAATTTCCTTCTCCAGATGCAACCTGTCTCTCTAATTTCTTTATATTAAACAAGTGGAATTACAGATGTTTCTGTACTCTTTCCCCCTTAGCAACACATCAGGGAGGATGGACTTTAATAGTATCCCATTATAAGTTACTAACTTATTTAACCCGTCTTATTCATGGACCTCTATATTTCTTCTTTTTTGCTTTCTTTCTTAAACACTTTAATAAATACTGGAATACCTCTGGTATAAATTCCTAAAAGTGGATTCAGCAAATCTACTTTTACCTCTCCAAGACTCCAAATACCATTGCACATGAATTGGAGGAGGAGGACACAGTTCAGCCCATAGCCATATCTCTATATAGGTGTCATTGCTTGCCTCTTCCCACCAGAAAGTAGGCTCCAAGAGACTTAATGGAGCAGGGATGTAACCTGTTTTGTTGACTTAACCATTTCCAGCATCTAAATCAGTAGTAATATTGAGCCAATAAACATTTGTTGAATGAATGGATTTCTTGAATGCGTATGACGTGCCACGCACTGTTCTAACACATTACATCCATTCAGAGAATCCATACAATAGCCTTGCAAAATAGATACTATTATTTCTTCAGTCGATTCATAAGGAAACAGAGGCCCAGGAAGTAGTTGCACTGCTTTCACAGAAGGCAGAACCCAGTTTTTTGAAGAAGGCAGCCTGACTTCTAAGCCCATTTTCTCATCCATTACACTGTGAACAGAGTATAATTTTCCTCCCAAAGCTACTAGGAAGCTCATAGAGTTAAAACTTTGCATTAATTTAAATTACAATGTTGACCAATGTGTTAGCATTTTCCCCTAATATCCCATAGCTCCTAGAAATGCTTTTGAATATAACATCTCAAATATATATCTATATCTATATCTACCGTGTTTCCTCGATAATAAGACATCCTCCGAAAATAAGACCTACTTACAGGTTTCCCTCTGAGTGAAATATAAAGCTTCTCCCGAAAATAAGGCCCCCCTAGGCTAAACATGAGAGATTTGGTCCACTGATTCTGAAAGAAATGGAGTCACAAGAAATTCAGGAATTGGATTGTTATGATGATGTTCCAGAAGATGATGACATGATTGTCATTGAATAAATGAGTAAATTCTTGATACTGTAGGATTCACAGTTTGTCTGGTTTGTATTGGCAACTACCATACAACCGTACCTTATACAGGTAATAAATTTCCTTTATTTTCATTTAACAATAAATGTGTACCGTATTCTTCTTCATGGAAAAATAAGACATTCCGCCGAAACCGGTGTGGCTCAGTGGTAGAGCGTCGGTCTGCGAACTGAAAGGTCCCGGGTTTGATTCCGGTCAAGGGCGTGTACCTTGGTTGCAGGCACATGGTGTGCAAGAGGCAGCTGGTCGATGTTTCTCTCTCATCGATGTTTCTAGCTCTCTGTCCCTCTCCCTTCCTCTGTAAAAAAATCAATAAAATATATTAAATAAATAAATAAAAAATAAGACATTCCCTGAAAATAAGACCTAGCGCATCTTTGGGAGCAAAAATTAATATAAGACACTGTCTTATTTTTGGGGAAACAGGGTATATCTATATCTATATCTATAGCTATACCTATATCTATTGCTATATCAATACTTGATTTTTACAGAGAAGAAGGGGGAGGGATAGAATTAGAAACATTGATGAGAGAGAAACATCCAATCAGCTGCCTCCTGCACACCCCCTACTGGGGATGTGCCTGCAACCAAGGTACATGACCTTGATGGAAATCAAACTTGGGAACCTTCAATCCTCAGGCCGATGCTCTATCCACTGAGCCAAACCAGTTAGGGCAATATCTCAATTTTTTTTTAATATAAAAACTGTTGTTCTGGTGGGAGCATTGTTTCTTTTAAAAAAAAATATATAGCCAAAACCAGTTTGGCTCAGTGGTAGAGCGTTGGTCTGAGGACTGAAAGGTCCAGGGTTCGATTCCGGTCAAGGGCATGTACATTGGTTGCGGGCACATCCCCAGTAGGGGGTGTGCAAGAGGCAGCTGGTCGGTGTTTCTCTCTCATCGACATTTCTGGCTCTCTCTATCTCTCCTTCCCTCTCTGTAAAAAATCAATAAAATATATTTTTTTTTAAAATAAAAAATAAAATAAAAAATATATATTTTTATTGATTTCAGATTGAGGAAAGGGGAGGGAGAGAAACATCAATGATGAGAGAGAATCCTTGACCAGCTGCCTCCTGCCTGCCCCCTACTGGGGATCCAGCCCACAACCAAGGCATGTGCCCTGACCAGGAATCAAGCCCTGGCTTCCTGGTTCATGGGTTGACATTTAACCACTGAGCCACACCGGCTGGGCAGGAGCAGTGTTTCCATTGTACCTGCTATCCAGGGTTTTATTGTAGGCAGCTATTACTGACACTAGTCTTGGACTTTAGGTAGCCAGGGGAGTGGTTCCCTCTTACTCAGATCCTTCCCAACACAATATTGTTATTGACTTACATTTTCCATTCTCAGGGTCTTCCCGTTGCTGTAAAAAGCGTTAATAAGGCTGTTGATTGAAAATAGGCTCGTGGCTGGGAGTGGAGGGCAGTAGAAAAGATGGTTAGAATTGTGCCAACAGTAAAGTGTAGCATAGCTGCATTTTGAGCCATCCTTGGCTGGCAAGGATGGACACAGGCTAGGCCTTTTCACCTTTCATGTTAAATAATGCTTACTCAACCTTGAGATGTGGACATGAACAACAACAACAACGACGCTGAGGCCTCATAGCTAACAAGAGGAGGGTCTGCACCTTGAAAGCAGGTCGTGGGACCGCAGATGTCTGCTGTTTCTACTGGCCTACGTGTCTCCTTTCCAGTTCAATTCCAGTCAATACAATAAAAATATAGTATTTTATTGATTTCTTACAAAGAGGAAGGGAGGGGGATAGAGAGTTAGAAACATCGAAGAGAGAGAAACATTCTCTAAATGAGTGCTATGGCAGCCCACATCCTCCAGGCACTCGTTCAGGTGGGCACGTACTTGTCCTTCTTAGAGACGGAAAGTGTGTGACTGAAGCAGGAAGTATATGTGCCTTTATCACATCGCCATCTGAACAAAAAGTAAAACTTACCAAAGCCCCTGAGTCATATTTCTAACAAACCTCCAGCTCTTTTCTACGGCAACTGATCTCTCTCTCTCTCTCTCTCCCTCTCCCCTTCTTGAATCATTATTTAAGTTCTATTTTCACTTGAAATATAGTTGTGATAAAAGTATACTTTCCCTCTTATCTCTCTCTTTTTAAAACAGCTCTATTGAGATAATTTACATACCATAAAGTTCACCCAATGTAAAGTATACAATTTAAGTCCTAGCCGGTTTAGCTCAGTGGATAGAGCCATGGCCTGTGGACTGAAGGGTTGAGAGTTCAATTCCAGTCAGGACACAATGCCTGGGTTGTGGGCTTGATCCCCAGTAGGGGGTGTGCAGATGACAGCCCATCAGTGAATTTCTCTCATCATGGATGTTTTTCTCTCTCCCTCTCCCTTCCTCTCTGAAATTAATAAAAATATATTTTAAAAAATAAAGTATACAATTCAATCATTTTTTAGTATACTTATTGAGTTAAGCAACTATGACCATAATCTAAATTTGGAACATTTTCATCACCCCACCCACGAAAACCTTGTACTCAGCAGTCATTTCCCAGTCACTGCCTCCCCAGCCATAGACAACCACTGACCTATTTTCTGACTCTAGGTTTGCCTAGCTGGACCGCCTATAAATGGCACCATGCATTGTGTGGTCTTTTGGGACTGTCTTCTTTCATGCAGTGTGATGTTTTGAGGTTTGTCCATGTTATAGCATAGATCAGCACTACAATTTTTTTTTTTTAAATATAGTATTTTATTGATTTCTTACAGAGAGGAAGGGAGGGGGATAGAGAATTAGAAACATCGAAGAGAGAGAAACATCCATCAGCTGCCTCCTGCACACCCACTACTGGGGATGTGCCCGCAACCAAGGTACATGCCCTTGACTGGAATCGAACCTGGGACCCTTCAGTCTGCAGGCTGAGGCTCTATCCACTGAGCCAAACTGGTCTTTGCAGCACTACAATCCTTTTCATCGCCCGTAAAACCTCCTTTTACAAACCCTTTCTGCATGTGGAAATGTGTCCTGAATTGGGGCTGACCTGTCCAGTGAGTCCAACCCTGACCAGCTTCGACATATGCCAAGGGCACCACCAGGACAGGAACCCTGTCTACTATTCCTGGAGAGACAGACCCTGGCTTCCCTTCCTGGCCATCGTCTACTCTACTGAGAGCCCAGAATTCCTGTGCCAATGGAGGCAGGGAGTGGCGTCTGACTATGGCAGTGGCTGAGGCTGATGGCACCAGTTCCTAACGCTGCTTTGTTTTGTTTTGTTCTCATGCCCAGTTTAGATTTTCAGATAAGGTTTTTACTTCATCTGAGAAGCCTTTGAAACTCCAGGAGCTTCTACTGTCAGAAAGCTTGATTCTGCTGCCACCTGCTGTCCTTATGTGGGAAGGCCAGAGAGAAGGAGGCAACAAATTCCAGGTTTAAAAAGTTACGTAGTAATAATAATCATCATAATAATAAATAATAAAATAACACCTTCAACTTTAATATTCTCTACAATGTTCAAAGATCTTTCCCAAACAATGCACTGATCACCACCTCCAAACAGTTGTCTCTGGAATAAGGACAGTTACTATTATTTTTATTTTACTGTCTGCAAAGCAGGTTAAATAGAGTGTTTGTTCAAGATGATACCCTTAATAGGAAGGAGATCTTGGATTAGAAACCAATCTGTGTGTCTGCTTGCTAGTGAGTCCCTTCACGGGCGTCAAGGAGGAAGGCTTCATCCTCCAGCCACCACATACATGTCAGTCAGCATAAAATTCCCTTTTTTTTTTTTTTTAAAGATATCAGCTTTGTACAGAACTTTTTTTAATTTATTGATTTCAGAGAGGAAGAGAGATATAGAAACATCAATGATGAGAGGGAATCATTGATTGGCTGCCTCCTGCTCGTTGGACCGAGCCTACAATCCAGGAACGTGCCCTTGACTGGAATCGAACCCGGAACCCTTTGGTCAGCAGGCCGACACTCCATCCACTGAGCCAAACTGGCTAGGGCTGTACAGATCTGCAAGTTTAAACACCATTCTGGTGTCTTTGTTTCTTTCATTATCAAGAAGTCCTTCCTTATATCTAATCTCTACCTTTTTGTTCCAGAAATTAAGGGGGAAAGTATTCCTAAGTCCATTATGAAGGAAGCACTGGGTAAAACATTTTCTCTAAAAGCACAATTTGAAAACCTTTATGGAACCACTCCAAGGCCTTTTGTTCTGCCAGTTTGGTTAATTTTTAGCTCAGAGGCCTTATGGTTGGACCCTTATCTATTCATTCACCCACTAGAGGGCTGAATGCCTCCCATGGCGTCTAAGAGTCAATTGGCAAGTAAGGGAAACTGACAGGGGCAAAGTTGGCATATGATCGCGTGCTAGAATGATTGGTACGGTGGGTGGGTGGGAACTGAAACAGATGGAGAGGATAATGAGTCAGACTTGCCAGTAAGGCTTTGCAGAGTCTTGAGAAACACTTGGGATGAGGCCTGAATCTGGCAGGCTTCAGGCATGATGGGGACACTTGGGGCCATGTCCCACCCACGCGGCAGACACAGCCCACACTGGGCACATGACTTGGTGAGTGAAGCCAGCGAGGCCCTCTCGGTCTCTCTAGGCACCATCTGCACCATCTGCACCACCACAGGTACTGGCTGCCCTGTGGGACCTTTGGAGGAGGTGGTAGCTCAGGTGGATCCTTGGTAACGTGCGTCATTCATCGTCTCAAAGAGACATCTATTCAGTACCAGGAGCCTCCACTTCTAACTGCGAGGGGATTGGGTTCTTATTTTAGTATTTAATCTATCCTCTCATCTACATTTTATGGGTTTGGTAGAAAGCAAAAGCTGCTGTCACTTTCTTTTAAACTAAAAGGTCGCTGGTTATAACCGGAATACGATGTGCATTAAGATAAGGTTCCCACTGTTTTGTTTCTAAATGAACAAATACGATAAAAGGTTTCAGGCAGCTATTTATAAGCACTTTCAGCAAATAACATAGTGTCTTCATGCCCAGTAAATGAAAAGCTAAATGGGAAAAGCTATTACAGCGTTCACCTGAGCCTCCTCGTGCTTTGTCTAGGGTTCCAGTTCCAGACTGAAGGGGGCGCTCTAGAGCCATGGTGGGTTTCTTACTCTGGAGAGTTCCCTGGTTATTGGTTTGAATCAGTTTTATATATATTTTGTTTTTGGAGCATTGAATGGGCCTGGTTATCCATTCCTTGATCAATCCAAGCGAGTAATATGATTTCAACAGTAAGTAGCCAAGGATGGAGTCACCTAATGACCTAATGAGCCGGACCTCAGGCTCCAGGGCAGGACTGGGAGTAGATGGCACCATTTCAGTTGTGGTGGTGTCACAGCCTATTCAGGAAGCAGCAGGAGCTGAAATTCAAGCACCTCCCAGAGAAAAGAAGAGCAGTTTCCTCAACAGTGGCTAGTGACACCTCACAGGGATGTCATGCTGTCCCAGGGTCTTCTCATCCTTATGAAGTGGAATTGGTGCCCTCTTCATCCTTAAAACTTTTGTAAAAGCAAATTAGCTTCTTCAATGCAGAATGGGAGAGGAAAATGTCAGGACTTGAACTTCATTGTGTATTTTAATATGAAACTCCAAACCCAACACTACAGAACGTATCTGAAGATTTATTCGTTGGTTTAGCATTCCTTTTTGTGCAATTAATTCAAAGTAAATCAAGGAGCATGCGTTCTTCGTTCTTCGTGGAATGGGGAAAAACAGGAAATGGTCTCAGTTCATTGTTCATTACAGTTCAATGAACATTATAATGCAATCCTCAGTCGTGTACTGATTTAAATAAAATGTTTGTATTTAAATCCTGTGGCAATTACCCACCTTGTGTGGTAGTACTAATTATTCTCCCTAGACATCTAGATGCTTTGAACACTCTTTCATGTTTGGGAACTCTCCCATCTAGTGAGTTTGAATTTTGAAAATAGAAGCCAAAAGCCCTGTCTGGGTGGCTCAGTTGGTTAGAGCATTGTCCCAATGCACCAAGTTGCAGGTTCTGCTAGGGTTTGGCTGGTAACTCAGGCTGTGAAAGAATTCACAACTAGAAGAAGAGATGCAGAGAGGAAGTTTATTTTACTTTCCAAGAGATGAAAGAGCCTGTGGATTGCTAATCAATACAGGGCAGGCAATAAGGAGCAGCCTGCTCTTTTAAGCAGAGGCTGTTGCTAAGTGACAACGAAGGGAGGGAAATTCAGGCCCATTGGGCGTGGCTCAGTGGTTGAGAGTTGACCTATGAACCAAGAGGTCACGGTTTGATTCCCTGTCTGGGCAGTAGGGTGCGTGTAGGAGGCAGTCGATCAATGATTCTCTCCATCATTGATGTTTTTTTCTCTCCCCCTGTCCCTTCCTCTCTGAAATTAATAAAAAGATATTCTTTTTGTTTTATTGTTTAAATAATTCTTTATTGTTGAAAGTATTACATATGTCCCCCTTTTCCCCCACTGACTCCCTTCAATCCCTCTCCCCCTACCTTCCCTCCTCCCCCATGCCCCAGGCCTTCAGCACACTATTGTCTGTATCCATGGGTTATGGATGTGTGCCTACAAGATCTTTGGTTGATTACTTCCCACCCATCCACTCTCCCCCGCCTTCCCTCTGAGGTTAATAAAAATATATTTCCAACGGAAGGAAATTCTGTTGAGGTTGAGTGGATATCTGGGGTTGTCTTGAAAAATTACAGTTAGGAAACAGTCTGGCAGATGTCCTAAGGAGAACTGTCGGATCAGCATTTTCCCCAAGTCTGTGAAGTATGCTTAGAGTTTCTACATTTCTTTGTTTGTCCTCATTCTATTTGCTTTGATCCTTACTTCATTTTTCTCTCCCTAAATCTTCGTCATTTCACCTATTCTATCTGGCACCTTTCTTTCCAGAGTATTCCTATGCAGAGGTCTCTATCCAGGAAACACTTTAATGTGTTTACAAAACAGGCACGGAGTGCCTACTGATAGGCAGGCTATGTCAGTGAATTCAGTGAGTCCCTCAGTCATTTATTTCAATAACCATGTGTTGAGTGTCTCCTCTGTGACAGGCCCTGATAATACAGACAAATGAAAGGTCCTGGGCTCAAACAGTGCCTTTATCTCCATCCCTCTCCTGAGGGAGGATCTCTCCTGTCCCCAGTACCCTCCGTACATGACTGAGACCCATTTATGAGATCCGTCTTCACCTTTCTCACCCCAGTCCTGCCTCCCTCGGGGCCCAGACAAGGCGCACTAAGTTGTACCCCTGGCACAAAGCCCATCTTCACAGAGCTATCCCCATGGGAGGCTGGGGACTAGGATAGGACAGGAGCTGGATCCTGGGCACCTGGTCCCATTTCTCCATCCTCCAAGCCCCTACTCTGAGCCTCTGTTTTTCTGACTATAAAACTGTGACACGCAGCCCCACCCCCACCCTTTCCTCTTGCATGCAGTTTAGGACGAGGTGGAAGTTCTTGGCCCTGGGAGGCTGCGCGAGGCATGTTACTTTCCTCTTGAGAGGATTCACTTTCTGCTCCACTGCATTCTGTGGTCATTTTCTAGTGACAAAGAGTGTGTGGGTGCATCAAGAGATAGTCCCCCTTCTCTTGCCCTGAGGGACTTGTCTGTCACCTGCATACTCAGGACAGACTTTTCCACAGATTGTCCAAGCTGCTGCCCTCCCGCCTCAGGTCTCTGGTTACCCGCCAGAGCTATTTAATCCAACTCTCCATCTGGGCAATAGTTTAAAAACCCCCACAGAATGCAGAAGGCCATGCACCTGGGACTCCTGAGTCCCTGGGCCAGAGGGCCTGGCTTTGGACTTTCCTGCTTGGCGAGCGGCCCTGGAACCTCCAGCTCATCTGGCAGGGAACTGTAAAGCTGGCCCCTGGTTCGAACAGCCTCCAGCCCAGGTCCAGCCCGGGAAGAGGTGGAGGTGTTAAACTGATGGATGTAACTCAATATCTGCGGAGCTAGCCCACGCAGGGCACACAGGGGAGGTAAGGCCAGCCACCTCGACTCCACATGACCGGCTCCCAGTCCTCCTCTCCCACACTCAGCATGGCTGGCTCCTACATTTTCAAGTTTCCCCTTAAATGTCGCCATGGAGACATCCTTAATGATCTCTCTGCCCAAGACAGCCCCCTCTGCCCGCCCTTACTCTTGCTCACACCAGCTCCCTGTTCTTGTTCTCCAGGTCTCTTGTCATGATTTTTAAAACAAGTTTTAGTTATTTATTGATTTTATATTTTTTTGTCAATCCTCACCCGAGGATATTTTTCCATTGAGTTTTAGAGAGAGTGGAAGGGAGGAGACACAGAGAGAAACACTGATGTGAGAGAGACACATCGATTAGTTGCCTCCTGCACAGGTCCCCAGGGCTGGAGATTGAGCCTGCCACTGAGGTACGTGCCTTTAACTGGAATCAAACAAAGGACCCCTCAGTCTGATATTCTATTCACTAAGCCAACTGGCTAGGGCTAATTATATATTGATTTTAGAGAGAGAAGGAGGGGGGAGAGGAGAGAGAGGGGGGGGGAGGAGACGGAAACACTGATTTGTTGTTTTACTTATTTGTGCATTCACTAGAGAAGTGGTCAGCAAACTCATTAGTCAACTGAGTCAAATATCAACAGTACAACGATTGAAATTTCTTTTGAGAGCCAAATTTTTT